CCACTTTTTCTGCTTTCTTGTTTTGAGTATTTTTTGATTCCATTTTATCTCCTATTTTGGCTTAATAGCTATTTCTCTTTGCTTAGCCATCTCCAACCCTTGTGGCCCAGGTACTAGTTTCATGAAAGATTGACAGAGTTTGGGATGGGGATGGTTTTAGTATGATTCAAGTACATTACGTCTTCACCTCAGATCATCAGGCGTTAGACCACCTAGATCTCTCCTATGAGCAGCTTACAGTGGGGTTCGTGCTCCTATGAGAATCAAATGCTGCCGCTTATCTGGCAGGAGGCAGACCTCAGGTGGTTGTGGCTATAAATACAGATGAAGCTTCACTTGCTTGCCCGTTGCTTACTTCTTACTGTGTGGCCCAATTACACACCCGTATGAGTCTACACCCCAAGGTTGAAGACTCAAAGGATCCTCTTGCCTCAGACTTACGAGTAGCTGGGACTCAAGTACATGTCATCACACTGGCTTTTATTTTTATTCTTTTTTGTTGTTGTTGCGGCCATCATTGTTTGGCAGGCCCCGGCTGGATTCAAACCCACCAGCTCAGGTGTATGTGGCTGGCACCTCAGCCACTTGAGCCACAGGTGCCAAGCCTTTATTTTTATTCTTTTAGTGACAGGATCTTGCAGTGTTGCTCAGGCTGGTCTCAAACTACTGGCTTCAAGTGATCTTCCCACCTCGGGCTCCCAAAGTGCTGGTAGTGCCATGAACCACCATGCCCAGCACCAACTTTCAGTTCTTTGGGATATATATCCAGAAGAAAAATTGTTGTACCCCAGCCTAAGTAAGATCAAGACCCTGTCTTTGAAAGAGAAGTGAAGCTGGAATGTGGGCACTTTTTCTGCCTGCAGTGTCTCAGATTCATTCTTAAGGAACTGAGAATGTAATCTTCCAAAATGTCAAAAAGCATATGCCTCACCTCCCACCCCAGCTCCTGCAACACAATTGCCCAGCAAACCAGGGTTTGTGGGATACAGTCCATAGAGTCATCTCCCCTACAACAACTATAGGCCGGGAGGGAACTCAGGCACCAATAGCCAGGTCATGGCATCCTCTGGTATTATAATTCCCAAACCCCCAAACCCACCAGATAAGCTGCCAATACCCTACATGAGGCACAGCATAAAGGCCTCGGACCAGTAAAGGCTTCTAACCCTGACCTAAAGTTGTGGGAGACTGGCAAGATTATTGGTGGAATGTGGCGAGATCTCACTGATGAAGAGGAAAAAGAATGTTTAAATAGGGCGGCACCTGTGGCTCAAAGGGGTAGGGCACCGGCCCCATATGCTGGAGGTAGCAGGTTCAAACTCAGCCCCGGCCACAAACTGC